TGCTTTAATTCCCCTTTTCTCTTAGTCAGTGTAATGGAAACCAAGTATATGAACAAACCTGGTGCTCTTAGGCATACTGAAGTTTTAAAACTTACGTTTTAATAGGGTTTGGGTTTTTTTTTTTTTCCTTATATGTTTAGAAGCCACAGCAAAATCTCATAATTAGTTACTAAAATATTTTCTTTTTAAAATTCATTGATTTGAGAAACATTAATCTCTTGTTCCAGTTATTTATGCATTCATTGATTGATTCCTTTTTGTGCCCTAATCAAACCTGAAACATTGGTGTATTGGGACGATGCTCTAACCAAATGAGCCACCCCTTCAGAGCCTAATTTTCCATTTCTTATTAGGTTTACATTTATTTAAAATTTTACCTGAAATTTATGTCAGTGAACAGTTACTAGGAAGAGTCTAGAAGTTTAACCAATTGTTTGGTCATAATTTACTTAATTCATTCTTTCTCTCACTGATTGGAATAGCACCACTACCAGATATTAAAGTGATTGTCTTAAACCACACATTGAATCATGTCAAAGGCCTTCTTTTGATAACTTACCTGTGCATTTACAGAGGGCTTGCAAAGTCCTATAAGATTTCACCCCTGTCTTTGTTTGCAAAATCACTTTGCACCACTCTCACCATTGTTCAATATGTTCTAGATAAATCAAAGACTTTTGAGTTCTGTTATGTTAATTATACCTCAATAAAATGGAAACAACCCCCCTTGTCCTAGCCGCTATGGCTCAGTGGATAGAGTACTGGACTGTGGAGTCAATGGACCCTGGTTTGATTCTGGTCAAGGGCACATGCCTCTATTGCAGGCTCAATCCCCAGTAGGGGGCATTCAGGAGGCAGCCAATCAATGATTCTCTCTCATCATTGATGTTTCTAACTCTCCCTCTCCCTTCCTCTCTGAAATCAATAAAGATATATTTTTTTTTAAATTCTGTGAAATAGATGCATTTTAATAGAAATAATAGAGGATGAAAATAGAGTAGAAACGGTAATATATTTTATTTTATTTTATTGATTTTTTACAGAGAGGAAGGGAGAGAGATAGAGAGCTAGAATCGTCCATGAGAGAGAAACATCAACCAGCTGCCTCTTGCACATCCCCTACTAGGGATGTGCCCGCAACCAATGTACATGCCCTTGACCGGAATTGAACCTGGGACCCTTCAGTCCGCATACCGACGCTCTACCACTGAGCCAAACCGGTTTCGGCTAGAAAAGGTAATATTTGAAGCCATATGGTTGAGATTATTCTGGACTTAATGAAATACATGAATCTTCTGATTCAGGACTCAAAATTCTCTGAACAAGATAAGTAAAGCTAAATCCATCCTTGACACATTGAAGAAAAACTAAGGAATTCTACAGACCAAGATAAAATATCAACTGAAGAAAAATGCTATAATAAAAGTGAAAAAGAAATAATGAAGCTGGGGGAAAAATATATATATAATGGGGAAATGATCTACACTAATAAAAGAGAAATATGCAAATTGATCATATCTCCATGGTGCCCATCAGCCAATCAGGAGTGAGAATGCAAATTAACGAAATAAAAATGGCATGTTAATTTGCATAAGCAGGTGCATAGCTGGGCGGGGAGGATGCATGCTATGAGGAGGAGGGCTGGGGGCAGAGGGACCTACAGGAGCAGCGCTCTGGAGCAGAGAAGACTGAAGGCTCTGGCCAGAGCGAAAGGCCTGGGTCCCGGGTGCCGGAGGAAAACTGGTGCCAGCAGCCAGGAGAAGGAATCTTTGTGCAATAGGCCTCTAGTTAGCATATAAAGTGCTCCTTAAAAAAAAAAAAAAAAATACACCTTGCTCATGACAATGAGGCAATAATTTTTTTTTCCTTAACTGAATCAACCATTTTATTATTTTTTTTAAATATATTTTTATTGATTTCAGAGTGGAAGGGAGAGCTAGAAACATCAATGATGAGAAGGAATCATTGACTGGCTGCCTTCTGCACGTTGGACCCAGCCCATAACCCAGGCATGTGCCCTTGACTGGAATCAAACCTGGGACCCTCTGGTCTGCAGGCCAACACTCTATCCACTAAGCCAAACCAGCAAGGGCAAAAGTGCTCCTTTTAATCAATGTGAAAAAGACAGTTTAATGGAAAAAATATAAACTTTCAATGGTCAAGAAAATGTCCAACCAATAACACTTTTTATTTTTTGTGTAACACTTTTTAAATAAGTGTTACACAAAAAATTGAAATTTTCACACAAATGAAAATTTCAATTTGCATATTTTAGAAAAATCAGGGGAAATGAGCGTGCTCAATCTTGGTTAGAATATAAATTGCAATCTTTAGAGTTCTATTTAGCAACAATAATAAAATATTTTGTTTACAGATACATATCCTAGGGCAAAGGAAACAAAGGAGAAGATAAACAAATGGGACTACATCAACATAGAAAGCTTCTGCACAGCAAAAGCAGCAAAAGAAACCATCAACAACAACAAAAAAAGGGAGCCCACTGTATTGGAGAACATATTTGGCAATGATATATCTGATAAAGGTTTAATATCCAAAAATATAAGGAACTCATACAGTTTAACAAAAGGAAGACAAACAATCCACTTAAAAAATGGGCCAAGAACCTAAATAGACACTTCTCCAAAGTGAACATGCAGATGGCCAAGAGACATATGAAAAAATGCTCAAAGTCACTGATCATCAGAGAGATGCAAATTAAAACAGCAATAAGGTATCACCCCACACCTGTCAGATGGCTACCATCAACAAGTCAACAAATCACAAGTGCTGGTGAAGAGTGCACTGCTTGTGGGAATGCAGACTGGCAGTCACTATGGAAAACAGTATGGATTTTCCCCAAAAAAGTAAATATGGAACTGTCATTTGACCCAGTGATCCCACTCCTAGGAATATATCCTAAGAAACCTGAAACATTTAAACAATAAAGAATTTAAATTTAAAAAAAAGAAAGAAACCTGAAACACCAGTCAAAAAGAATGTATGCACTGCTGTGTTCATAGCAGCACAATTTACAATAGCTAAGACCTGGAAATATCCCAAGTGCCCATCAGTAGCCATGTGGATAAAAAAGCTATGGTACATTTATGCCATAAAATAGTATGCAGCAGTAAAAAAAGAGAATTTCTTACCTTTTCAGACAGCATGGAGGGACCTGGAGAGTATCATGCTAAGTGAAATAAGTCAGAGAAAGACAAGTATCATATGATATCATTCTTATGTGGAATCTAATAAAAATAAAATGATGAACAGAGTGAATCCAAATCCAGAGATATTGAAACATGGAACAGAGTGCGGAATCAGGGAGGGGAGGTAATCAGCCAAGGACCTTGTATGCATATATGCATAACCCATGAACAGACAACAGGTGAAGGCCTGGGGCAGAGGGCTGGAGGGAGTCAATGGAAGGAAAAGGGGGAAGAGAGAACATGTAATACTTCCAAGTATAAGGAATAAAAAAACAATAATCAAATATTTAATGTGTATACTCTTCCACCCAGCAATGCTAGTTCAAGAAGTTGATCTTGAAAAACCACCTATGTGTCCAAAGGTGTCTGTAATGACAAGAAATTGGTAAATTGTGTAACACTTTTTTGTGTAACACTTTTTAAATTTTTTGTGTAACAAAAAATACAGATATGCTTCGTTTTATTGAGATTCGCTTGATGTCTTCCATAGGGTTGGCAAAACCATCAGATATGCTTCGTTTTATTGAGATTCGCTTGATGTCTTCCATAGGGTTGGCAAAACCATCCCTCTACCAGCAAAAAAGTCACTCTTGGCTGCCTTTCTGGCTTTATTGCCGTGGAATGGAAGGAACCGCAGTTATCTCTGACGTATGCCTGTTTCTCCGTCTTTTTAAAAGGTATTCATTAAAAAGTTGTTACGTGGCATAAAATTAAATACTTTATTAAGTACATAGCAGAAGTGTTAACGGTACGAACCCAGTTTTGTTTTCTTTTTTAATATATTTTATTGATTTTTATCACAGAGAGGAAGAGAGAGGGATAGAGTTAGAAACATCGATGAGAGAGAATCATCGATCAGCTGTCTCTTGCACACCCCCTATTGGGGATGTGCCCACAACCAAGGTACATGCCCTTGACCGGAATCGAACCCGGGACCTTTCAGTCCGCAGGCCGACGCTCTATCCACTGAGCCAAACCGGACCCGGCACCCAGTTTTGTTTTCTTAAATAAAAACGTGTATTTATAGAAAAAGCAGCTTAGAAAGCAGTATACAGAAACGATTGAGATACGAGCCTGGTGTGTGTGTGTGTGTGTGTGTGTGTGTGTGTGTGTGTGTGTGTGTGTGTGTGTGTGTTTTAAAGAGATGGTGGTGGGGATGGTGGTGGGAGCTGAGAATGTTATCATAACTGTACATCTTACATCGTTTGACTTTTAGGTCCACATCACTTCTACGATAGCAAAAATAAAGTGCACACTTAAAGCAAATGTTTTCTTCAGGCTACAAGGCATCTTTCCATCCCGATAGGAGCGGGCAACTCTCTATCCCCGAAGCAGGGGGCTCGGAGGCAACACAAAACTGGAGTCCGTGGACCCCGGGCCTGAGCCTCAGTGCTGCCCGGGCTTATCCAGCGTTCAGGCCCCGCAGTGACCAAAAGGCTGGCAATCCTCCCAGCCTACGTTCCGCCCGCCCCCGAGGCGCAGCATTCCTATCCCTCCCTCTCTTACTTCCTCACTCTCATCCTCCAATGGGCGCCCAAAAGGGGCGGGCTTAGCGCGAACTAGGCACACGATTAGTCCTGGAACCTCCCGCCCAGCGGTGGGCGGGTCAGCGTGGTGACGTACGATTACGGGACGCAGAGGCGGGGAGTGCACGAACGCAGGCTCGGCGGTATTAAACGGTTGCGAGCGGAGCGTTCTGGTGATCGTCGTAGGTCTCAGGCTCTCGCCGCTGCGGTAGCCGGCTACTCCTCCTTCTTCACTTCGTCTCTAGCCGCGTCGTTGCACTCCGCCACCATGTTCGAAGCGCGCCTGGTCCAGGGCTCCATCCTGAAAAAGGTGCTGGAGGCGCTGAAGGACCTCATCAATGAGGCCTGCTGGGACATCAGCTCGAGCGGCGTGAACCTGCAGAGCATGGACTCGTCCCACGTCTCTTTGGTGCAGCTCACCCTGCGGTCCGAGGGCTTCGACACGTACCGCTGCGACCGCAACCTGGCCATGGGCGTGAACCTCACCAGGTGAGCCCGGGAGCGGTGGGGGAACCAGGCCTAGGTCCTCTCAACTCCTCACTCCCATTTCCTCCCCCTCTTGGCGGGAGCTTCTCTGAGCTGGCCTCTCATTGGCTGGTGTGGGCCATTCCGCCTTCGCATTGGCCTGCTGTTCCTGGGGGCGGGACCAGCGGACCGCGCGGTGCCGAAAGCCCGCGCTGGCAGAGGCGGGAACTCGCTCTTTCCGCGCCACAGTCACAAAGCGGGCTGTGGCGGGAAAATGACGGGCTTCCCCGGGCTGCTAGGACTCCCTTCTGGAGCTCTTTTGGTCATTAGGTGCCGGTGACCTTGACTGGGAAACCATGGTCATGGATGACTTTATTTTACTTATTTTTTTTTTTAAAGTTTTAATGTTGAAAATACTATATGTGTTTCCTTTTTATCCCCGTTGACACCCCCCCCCCCTCCTAGCCCGCCTCCGCCCATCCCCAGTCGTGGATAACTTTAACCGCTTTATAGTGTTCCCTACCTGTCTCATTATTTAGGGAACAATAACTTACTTCTGGTCTTTTATTACTAAGTTGTAGTGATCACCCTCTTCAACTTGAGAAAAGGTTTCTCCAGGGCAGTCAGTGGCTTGCAACTTTTTGATCGCTATCTAGTGTATATACACGTGTTTAAAGTTGTAAAACCTTATGAGAAATATAAACCCATTCTACATGCTGTTGCAGGATTCTAGGGCAGGGAAAATGGGTAAAGTTAAAACTTAAGGCGAAACAGTCTGGGCAATTTACAACCAGCTTGTAAATAACAAGCCATTATCTTCACCAGCCAAGGGTAATTGAGAGCAAATGGTTAAAAAGCTCCCTAATGAGAGAATGCTGTAAGGGAGAGGAAAAGAAAAAAAAACGGCAGTTTTATTCCCTAAGCAGAGAAGCTAGCATCTCAAGGTTTGGCAAGATAAAGTTGCCAGGTGCTTCTTATGAATTCTGAGAAGATCACAAGAAAATAAAAAGGATCCTCGAGAATTAATCTATGCCAGAATATTCCAGCAAAGGAATACCTATAGACAGGAAGGTAAATTACCCTACCTGGCTCCCTCTTAAGATTAGCTGAGAGCCCATCTGCGCTTCATAAGCCAGAAGTATTTGCCTGTTTTGCTTTTTCAATAAAGGTGCATGCATTAATAAATTGGCTTTTTACAACACAGCCAAGGTCTCATATAAATTCATTTATATGAAAAGACAAGAATCAAAGTTAGGATCAGTCCCCTCCCACTGACTGAGCATGCCATGTCTTTTAATAGTAGCATATTGTTTTAATGGTCATTGTGGTCCAGTAACTTACTCAGCCACTAAGAGGATTTGCAATTCAGAATATACTGCTTTTTTTCATTTATATTTGAAAGCTTACTGGTGGCAAGCTACCAGATTGCATTCCAAAGTGGCTGGACCGGTTTACGGGTCATCCTGGAGTACATTTACCTAACTTTCCCATTCTTCAGCCTAATGGCTAAAAATGGTAACTCCTTCTTTAATGGCTTAAATTCTAACCATCTTAACATGGTGTGGGTTGTTAGGCTTTTGGCCAGGTGATTCGAGATGTGAAAGAGTTTGCAACTAAAAGAAGAGATATGTATAGAGAGTTTAATTTACTTTCCAGAAGGGAAAGTGTGGGTGTATTGCTAATCAATACAAGGACAAGAAATAAACTGCAGCTGCTCTTTTGAAGGGTAATGGCTGCTGTTGCTAGGTGACAAGAAAGGGAGGGGAGTTTGGAGGTTGAAATTGAGCAGGCTTCTGGGTTTGTAGTTATTTAGGAGACAATCAGGAGAGATGTCCTAGGGAGGTGTCTTATTTTTCTTTTCTTTTTATAGATATATATTTTATTGATTTTTTACAGAGAGGAAGGGAGAGAGAGAGAGAGCTAGAAACGTCGATGAGAGAGAAACATCAACCAGCTGCCTCTTGCACACCCCCTACTGGGGTTGTGCCCACAACCAACATACATGCCCCTGACCGGAATCGAACCTGGGACCTTTCAGTCTACAGACCGATGCTCTACCACTGAGCCAAATCAGTTTCGGCAATTTTTTCAAAGCCTGCAAACTATTCTTAGAGTAAAACTTACCAAGAGTTCAAAAGTAGCTTTTTTTAAAGATTGGGGGTAGGACTTTCTATTATAAACAAGGAGGAGGGTTATACAAAAATGTAGCCTTGTGTTGTAGTTTGAACAGAGGGACTGTTTGAATCAGAGGAACTAACAATCTTGGATTTTATTTATTTATTTATTTATTTATTTTTGGTCTTAATTTAATATGTGGTGGTGGTGGTGGTAGTCGTGGTGTTTGGGGTGGTGGTGGTGGTACAATCTTGGATTTTAATTACCAGGTGTTGCTCATAAATTTTGGAAGACTGTAGCGATGAAAAAAGAGGCTTTTCTTATTTTTGTACATCAATTTTAAATCCTCTGTCTTCTCTGTTCTAGCATGTCCAAGATACTAAAATGTGCTGGCAATGAAGACATCATTACCCTAAGGGCTGAAGATAATGCAGACACCTTGGCACTCGTGTTTGAAGCTCCAAGTAGGTTATATTCTTCTACTGACTTATTCTGAAGAAAACTAAAACGCAACATCAGTATTTTCAAAGTTGTGAGAAATTGAAAGTAATGTTTTTGAGGCTTATATGCTTTTCTTCAATAATGTTTGCTTTCTTTTGGTAGACCAAGAAAAGGTTTCAGACTATGAAATGAAGTTAATGGATTTGGATGTTGAACAACTTGGAATCCCAGTGAGTATCAGTTTGATTGAATGTACTGTACATGATAGCTACCTAAGATATGTTAATATAAAGCCCACTTCCTAACAACTATGTATCTGCTGGTGCATGTTCCAAAATGGAGTTATAGTACTCAAAAAAATGGACCATTGGTTGACTTCATTGTTGCTGAGTATTAAAATTAGATTTTAGAACCAAGAGGCAAAACATTAAAGGAGAGAGGTAGTGTTGGAATGTCTTAAAATTCTCTTGTCTGGAAAGCAGTGGTCACGCTTGCACATTCGTTCTTATGCCATAATCTAATGTCCTCTTTTTTTTTTTTTAATATATATATTTTATTGATTTTGTACAGAGAAAAAGAGAGAGGGATAGAGAGTTAGAAACATCGATGAGAGAGAATCATCAATCAGCTGCCTCTTGCACGCCCCCTACTGGGGATATGCCCGCAACCCAAGGTACATGCCCTTGACCGGAATCGAACCCGGGTCCCTTCAGTCCCCAAGCCGACGCTCTATCCATTGAGCCAAACCGGTCTCAGCTAATGTCCTCTTTTTAAAGTATATATATATTTTTATTGATTTCAGAGAGGACGGGGTGAGGAAAGAGAAATAGAAAAATATCAGTGATGAGAAAGAATCATTTATCGGCTGCCTCCTGCATGCCCCACACTGGGGATTGAGCCCACAACCCAGGCATGTGCCTACCTGGAATGGAACTGAGACTTCCTGGTTCATAGGTCCACGTTCAGCCACTAAGACTTGCAGGCCAGCTCTAATGTCTTTTTTTTTTTTTTTTTTTTTTTTTTAATATATATATTTTATTGATTTTACACAGAGAGGAATTGAGAGGGACAGAGAGTTAGAAACGTCAATGAGGGAGAAACATCCACCAGCTGCCTCTTGCACACCCCCTACTGGGGATGTGCCCGCAACCAAGGTACATGCCCTTGACTGGAATCGAACCCGGGATCTTTCAATCCGCAGGCCGATGCTCTATTCATGGAGCCAAACCGGTCTTCTTGATTTAGCCCTGGAGGATGGATGATGTGGGGAAGCTCTACTTTCCTGGATTTTACTGTTAAAAGGTTTAAGCTCTACTTTGTTTTCTTAATTATAGTTATTCTTACAACGTACTTGTTTCAGATCTGCCTTTCTTTTTTGAATGGTTGCAGTGCTTTAAGTCACAATAAGTTCCAACGTAATTCTGAGTTCTCCTTTAGATGCCGATTCTTCAGGAAGAGATGGTACTTACCAAATCTTTAATTCCCAGTAATTGATCTTTAAGGATTTTTGTGTTTCATTTTGTTTTATAGGAACAGGAGTATAGCTGTGTAGTAAAGATGCCTTCTGGTGAATTTGCGCGTATATGCCGAGATCTCAGTCATATTGGAGATGCTGTTGTAATTTCCTGTGCAAAAGATGGAGTGAAATTCTCTGCCAGTGGGGAACTTGGAAACGGAAATATTAAGCTGTCACAAACAAGTAATGTCGATAAAGAAGAGGAAGCTGTAAGTAATTTTAAAATAAAATACTTTGAAGAGAATTACAACACTGCTTAATGTTGGGTTAGTCTGTGTGGGCTGGTATAATAAAATACCATAAACCTGATTGCTTATAAGCAATGAAATTTTTTCCCACAGTTTTGGAGGCTGGCATATTTGATTCATAGGGTAAGGGAGCTTTCTAGGGTCTTTTCTTTTTACTCTATTTCAGAGAGGTAGAAACATCAATGATGAGAATCTTTGGCTTCCTCCTGCACACCTCCTACTGGGGATCTAGCCTGTAACCCCAGGCAAGTGTGCCCTGACTGGAAATCGAACTGTGACCACCTGTTTCATAGGTCGATGCTCAACCACTGAACCATACCAGCCGGGCTGGAGTCTTTCATAAGGTCATAATCCTATTCATGAAGGCCCCACTTCTGAATACCATAACACTGGGGATTCAGTTTTAACATTAAAGGGGAAGGAGGGACATGATAAACATTCTCTATAGCAAGATAAATACTAAAAATTAGAGAAAACTCGAAAGGAAAATAGACAAAAATTGCATTTTTACAACTTGTAAAAAAAGTGGAAGATATTGTTGAAATTTGCAAGTGATTTATAAGTGCCATCTAATTTATAATTTGTAAGCAGGGGATGCAAATTCAATGTGAACACTGTGCTGGTATATCAAACCCACACATAGTCTTAACACGTTAAGCACCCAGCCTGTTTTGTCTTCTGATCGGAAAGTATAATGGCAGTCACTGGTGGCTGACTGGGCACTTTACGTGATAAGAATAGGATTGAAAGGCTAAATGTCTAACCTTTAGGTTTCTGGCGGTATTTACTCTGCTTTTATCAAGTAATTCAGCATAGGATACCTCAATAGAACGATCTAATTAGGGGTAAAAATCTAGCTGCTAGGAGCTTCTGTATAATCCACATTTAACCAAAAAATAACACTATTTCGCCGAAACCGGTTTGGCTCAATGGATAGAGCGTCGGCTTGGGGACTGAAAGGCCCCGGGTTCGATTCCGGTCAGGGGCATGTACCTTGGTTGCGGGCATATCCCCAGTAGGGGGTGTGCAAGAGGCAGCTGATCGATGACCTCTCTCATCGATGTTTCTAACTCTCTATCTCTCTCCCTTCCTCTCTGTACAAAATCAATAAAATATATTTAAAAAATAAAAAAAAAAAAAAAATAACACTATTTCCTAAATATCCTTAAAATAGGGTTTTCCTGTAATCAGGTGTTCTTTTTTTGTTTATTATTAGAGCATTATAAACTAAAATTTGGTAATTGTACTAAAATAAAACTTGCTAGCTTGTGAACATCAGTTAACTGTAAATCAAGAACAATTAAAGGGCCTAAACTCAAGATTATTAGGATTAAGTAACATTCAAAGTGCTTAACACAGTATCTGGCATATTGTTAAGTTTATAGTAAAGAATAGGTATTTTCTTGTTCCTTGCTTGAGCAGTCGACTGTCCACAGATTAAATGAAGTTAAACTCCGTTTAAAAAAAAGACTTCTTTAATATTGAATGTCCAACAATAAAGCTGACAATACATAAGAAAATAAAAGGATTGATTTTTACTAATTTATTTCAGATTTATTTTTTTAATTGATTTTTTAAAAGGAGTGGGACATTGATTTGTTTTTCCGTGGTTGTACATTCCTTGGTTGATTCTTGTATGTGCCCTGACTGGGGATTAAACCTGCAACCTTAGAGGATTCTCTAACCAACTGAACTGCCTAGCCAGGGCTCACATTAATTCTTAAATCAGTATAAAAACACTCCCACACTAAATGAACATATTATGTATATACCTAGATAGGCTTATAATCATAATTTCAATGCACATCATGGTAATGCACCTTCACATATTCTCTGCAACATGAATTTAGTAGTAATATCTGTTATGGATTCTTTAGTAATGAGCAGGAAGATTCTTTAGATGTTTTAATATGTGGATCTCTCAGGCATGTTTATTCATTGAGCAGGGAATCCTTTGAGTTATAGCTGTTCAAAATTGTTTAAACTTCAAGGAGAATCTCTCAGGTCAGCATTCCTCTGGTGCCAGTCTAAATACTTCTTAAAAGTCTATTAAATAGCAAAACCATAGGGACAAATTACAACTTTTATCTGTCTCCTAAATTACATTTCACTCCCCTTCCAACTTTGATTTTTTAAATATTCTAACATAATTTCATCTGTAAACATTTTAATACTACTTGAAGTATAAACATTAAACTTTACCACATACTATAAGAAAATTATTCAATATTAAGGCAATTTTTGGTGTTCCTACTTCCTTGGTCATGTCCAACCTTTTTGGTGTTCCTATTTCCTTGAATCAAAATTTTAAGAAGGTATATAACATTGCATTTCAGTTGTTTTCAATCCATTGGTTTTCCAATTTGTTTTTGCCTCTCCATTGCAATTTGACTTGTTGAAAAAAACTAGGTCATTTGTCATTGAGCTTCCCAGAGTCTGAATTTTGCCAATTCATTCCTTATATCAATTAATATGTTCCTCTACCTTCTATTTCCTATAAATTAGTAGCTACAGCTCTTGAGGCTTGATATTCAGGGTGTCTTTGTTTTAGGGGTAGGAGAGCAAGAATATTTAATAGATGGTGGTGTGTACTTGTGGTAGGAGTCATGGGGTATCTGAATACCTTTTTGTGATTTTTAGCATCTATAAGTAGTCATTGTCTAGATTCATTAAGTCATGTTTTGCAGAGTTGTAATATATTAATATATTTCATTGCTTTATTTGCTGGTTTATTTTCTAGAGCTACTTCCATAAATAAATGTCTTATTACCTAATTTGGTTATCTGAGATTTGGTTTGTATACAGAAAGACAAGCTAAATAGTTGTTTTGGTTTATTGACCTATTTTCTAAGTTAGTTTCATATTACCCTCCTATGTAATAAGTTTTTTTAAAATATATTATTAATATGTTGTAACTTGACTTTTTTTTCATTATAATGAATCATTTACTTTTCCCCCTTAGGTTGCCATAGAGATGAATGAGCCAGTCCAGCTAACTTTTGCACTGAGATATCTGAACTTCTTTACAAAAGCTACTCCACTCTCTCCTACAGTAACACTCAGTATGTCTGCAGATGTACCCCTTGGTAAGATAATTTGATAAATCTTGTTTTTAATATACTTTTATTGACTTGAGAGAGGGATAGAGAGTTAGAAACATCAATGAGAGAGGATCATTGATTGACTGCCTCCTGCACGCCCCCCACTGGGGATAGAGTCCACAACCAGGCATGTGCTGCCATGACTAGGAATCAACCAGGGACCCTTTGGTCTAAAGGCAGATGTGCTATCCACTAAGCCAAACTGGCAAGGGCTAAATCTTGTTTTGTAGTATGTGTGTGGTACATCTCAGTAATTAACCCAATGTTCCTGTCTTCTTTCAGTTGTAGAGTATAAAATTGCTGATATGGGACATTTAAAGTACTATCTGGCTCCCAAGATCGAGGATGAAGAAGGATCTTAAGCAGTTTTAAAATCCAAGAAAACAAAACAGCTCTTTGAGAACGGCTTCTGAGATTTCAAAATGCTTTTAAAAGTCTCTTTTGTCACCAAATTTGTACTTGAGTACATATGTAGATAATGTTTTCTGTAAATAACCTATTTTCCATTCTTTAAAATTTAAAGCATAGTCTCAAGTCAAATCTGGTCTTATTAACCTAGAACTACTTCGGCGTTATATAGAAATAGTTTTTAGGATTTTTATAACAAAGGGTTTTGACTATTAATGCAGTTTTAATGTTTTCAACTTAAAAGTTTTATATCACAGGACAGTGCCTTCGTTTGAACCTTGACTGTAGGGAATTCACAATTAGTGCTACCTTTTTTGTATAAATGTTATATATTTTTTTCAGTCTCGAGCAGCTAGATATAAATACATTAGGTATAGCCGTAAAAAGTACTCCAAATGCTGTAGGTAACAAGATATTTGTTAAGATTCAGTTGTCAAATTTATTTTTGTATTTTCACTTGAACTAAAGAAATGAATGGGAGAACAAATTCTGTGTTTCATTATTTTGTCTTTTTTTTTGTAAACAAATACACTTTTTCAGAAACTTAATATACTCAAAGGTCGGTTTATAAGACTAGAATTGTTACAGGGCAGTGTTTCTTTAGCCTAGGAAACTTTACAAGACTTATAAGAATTACTAAGTTTGTGATGGGGCCCAAGGAGTATGTTTGCAAAAAACTTTTTCTCCAGTATAAATAGCTTTATTTGAGACTTATCCTGTAAAGGATGAAAATGGCTTATCTCTTAAGGGTGTTGGGTTCAACCAAGAAAGTGAAAAGGCCCAGTAGTTGTGAAACAGGCTATTTACACATTCCCAGTAATTGTGTTTACAAGGTCACAAATTGGCGTCCTACATACTGAAGGCTGTTTTATTACATTCCTTTTCCCCATTATGTTTAGATTAAATAACTGGTTTCTTTGTTGTACCTGGACTTGAGTTCTAGTGATTGGACCTCAGAACTCACTGTATCCGGTGGGTAACCATTACCTTATGTGCCTGGGTGGAAGGAGATTGGCAGCAAGGGGGAGCCTGATGGCGTTTTTTTGAGTGATAAAAATGTTTTATCTAGACAGGTGATGGATGATTCCAAGACTGGATTTGTTAAAACTCATCCAATTGTACTTTTATGTAAATTATACCTTAATAAAGTTGACATTTAAAAGTTTCACGTGTGGCAAAATATTTCTTGTGGGCAGACCTCTTACCTGGGCAAGGCCTGATAGCCTAGGACAGTGGTTGGCAAACTGCGGCTCTTTGGCCCCTTGAGTGTGGCTCTTCCACAAAATACCACGTGCGTACAGTACAGTGCAACTGAAACTTCGTGGCCCATGCACAGTAGTCGGTTTTCGACTCAAAAGAAATTTCAATCATACTGTTGATATTTGGCTCTGTTGACCAATGTGTTTGCCACCACTGGCCTAGGAGAGGGAAACTACAAGAGTAGGGGGCCAAGCTGTGAGGTAGTAGTAATAACTGGCAAAGACTACAACTCCTTGGAAGGGTGGCTGCCCTGGGCACTTGGCCCAGCAGCTCAGGTCCGACCAGGACCTGCTTCGGCCCTTGAGGGGAGGGGACGCCACTACCTGAGGGGCCAATAAAGATAGTGGGTTTGTCCAGTGCCCGGCAGGCGGGGTGGGGGTGGCCGGCTGCAAGCCCAGGCCGAGACCCGCCGACAGCTGGACCATGCGCAGGGCTGGGAAGGTGTTTCCGGAAGACAGATTGAGAGCGGCGCTCCCGGTGACGCCACTTCCGCGGCGCCGCCTTCCTGTCCGCGGCTTCCGGTGTGGGCGGGGTGGGGCCGGCGGCAGTTGGGTGAGGCGTGTCATGAGCATCTCCGCTGCCCACGGCGAGCGGGCAGTGCACGCGCGGACGGCTGGGCACGGCGCTCCGGTAAGGGGTGCGCAGGGCGGGGCGGGCGTGGTCCTGAGGCTCCCGGCGGCGCGGAGACGGCTCCCCGCTGTGTCCAGCCCGAGCCCTCCGCACCGCTGGCCTCTGTCCAGAAACCGGTTTTGTTTGTTTTCGGGCTAAATTCGTGTGGGTTCTTACTTCTCTTCCTGGCGAGGTCCGGGGACAGGCCGGAAAGGAGTGTGTGTGCAGGCTTGGCGTGCCAGGCGCTGCTGATCGCTTTTAAGATGACTGCAACTTTGAGGGGCTGCGTTGGAGTTGGGAAAAACCCTGTAGGGAACTTTGAAAACATCGATTCCCGTATTTCCTTTCCCTCTTAGAATACTTACTCCTCTCCCTCACGACCTGCGCTTTTTTGTTTTGTTGCGGGTGTATGAATACTGTAGTTAATGGTGGAGTACATAAACTTTGACTAATACAAATCAGAGATGATCAAGTGCCCTCCTAAACCCCCACATACACCAAGTATTCGGATCGCAACATTTAAAAACCTAGTATTTGATTCAGTTTAACCATTTGTTAATAAAATCAAGAGTAACAGACCAAAACTTAACCTCCCTGCAGTTTGAGTCCCCTCTTTCTGCGGTAAAAACCTTCCATGTGTACAACTCATCAGCACTCCCTTTCAGCTGCTATATGGGATGCGTGTTTCACCACTTGAGTAATAAAGCCAATTAGATCTTCAAACTAGTTGAATTTTGTTATTTAACACCTTTTAGGGCGGCATATAAGTTAGCATATTTTTTTATACTTGATAGCTGCAGCAGTATGTAATTAATAAAAAAGGATATGAGCATTTAGCACCAATTCCTTTATAAAGCTACTTAGTTTAGGTTGAATTGAGGCCATTTAACATAACTCACTAATGCCTGGGATTAAGAACATATAAAGCACCTGCCACCTAACCTGTAATTATTTACTGCCATTACTATAATGATTATTTGTAAAGTGTCATACCAGAGGAAGGCCAGGCTTTACTTCTTTGTGTGTTTATGTTACCCTTATTGAAATACCTAGTTTTATCTTTTAAAAGAAATGAAATAGCTTTACAATCAAAATATTTATATATATAAAACAGTGGTTTTATGGAGGAAAAGTATACAAATGTTTTTCAATTTTATTGTCTTTTTTTTCTCTCTCTCTCCTAATCCTCACCCGAGGATATTTTTTTCCATTTATTCTCTTTAGAGAGTGGAAGAGAGGGGAGAGAGAAAGAAACAGAGATGGGAAAGAGACACATTGATAGATTGCCTCCCACACTGGGGGGCCAAAACCAGGGCGGGATGGAACCTTCAACACGTTCCCTGGACTGGGAATCGAACCTGAGATCCTTCAGTTCTTGGGCCGACACTCCAACCACTGAGCCATGCTGGCCAGGTCTCAAATGTCTTTTTTTAATTTTGTAAGAGTTTATTTGAGCTAAAACTGACTACATAGGCAGGGGAGAAATATCTCAAATGTTCCTTAAATGTCATTGTTTTTAAATCTTATCTACTCTCTCTAAACCACTGACAAAATGGCCATGATTTTTTTTAAATGTAATCAGAGAAGTAATCTGGAAAATGAAATCACTACTTTCACTGCTTGAGTGGGGCAGAGAAGCAGACAAATCAGAAGTCACTAGTACAGTACTGATTGCCATGAGCTTATCCAAATTTACAAGAAGCTTTACAAATTCTTTGCATTAGCATGATATTCATCAGGGGGGAAATAGGCAAAATGTAGATATGAGTGTATTCTATTCCCCATCCTCTCTCTCCTTCCTCCCTAGCAAATACGAGAATCACTTGAGTATATGCACTTCTTGCTTTTTTCTGAAGCAGGGACAAGAGGCAAACTTTGCATAAGTCCAAATGATGCTACCTTATACCATCCTGGCTACTGGAATCCCCAGTAGTAAAATTAAGTACTCAAGATTCTACAGCATAGATGATGGCTACATTGACCTTCAGGTAGACTTGGATTTGAATCATTACTCTTCCACCCTGTATGACTTCGGAAAAATTAGGAGGCAGGGGAATGTTGGTGGCAAGGTACATATGCGTTCTGGTTCTTGGTCATTGTCTGGACTTTCATTCTACCAGGACAAACCAGAGTGGGTATATAATGAGGCTATTTTCTTTTTGTCAAAAGAAGGTCGGGTTCTAAGAACAGCAGAGCCTAAATTGCCAGTTGCTAGTATGTCATCACAGCCCTGCACTCCAAATCACTGCATCTGAGGCCTGAATTTATGGGCTATATAAAACACTGATGTTGCTTGCAGACATGAACAGTTTTCCTTGTTTCCAGACTGTAGCTGTGTCAGTGTGTTATGATGCCATCTCGTACCAACCTGGCTGCTGGAATCCCCAGTAGTAAAGTGAAATACTCTAGACTCTCCAGCACAGATGATGGCTACATTGACCTTCAGGTAAGTGCACAAGAGAGCTGATGAGACCGGCTGGCTCTGTTTCTGATGAGCTAGCAGGAAAACCTGTCGGTAGAGGTTTTTGCTAACTGTCCTTGGGGAATAGAGGGAGCAGCAAGAAAGAAACCCAGCACCTTTCAGCCACAGCCTGCAGAGGAGGGAACATCTTGGCAGAGCTCTTTCAAACCAATATAAATACAGTTCCTTCCTAAGAATTTTTAGTTGTAATGACAAAGCCCAGCAATTGCAAATTTTATTTAGTTTATCTGAAAAATAATCTAACTGCTAAAGCCAGCCGATTGTGGAATTCCTTCCTCTTTCCTGAAGCCATCAGATCCAATTTATTAAAGGTATTTTTGGTGGCAAACAATAAGTAAAACAAAGTATTTATTAAGCTTGTATCCTACCCTGATCATTTTTTATAAAATACTTAATGGTGTAGCATCTCCTTTTGCCCATTTCTCCTTAGAGGAGAGTATTTTAGGTGGAATGAGGGCCAAGAAAGAAGTAGCAGGCAGCCACCCTTTTAAATATAAACAAATCAATTATTCTTTGTACTCTTTGGACCTATACTTAAAGGAGAAAGGTTTTTTGTTTTGTGGGGTTTTCTTAGTATATCTGGGAAGTTTCCAGCCAGTTAGGTCAGATATAGCCATGAACCAAACCTTAGGAAGTTTGTTTGTCAATCTTAACCTTGAATTGAATTGTTAAGGCAGGTTACTTGTTCCATGGGGAAGGCAGCTTCTCCCACAGTTCCTCTGAGGTGGGTGGTGGCAGGCAACTAATGCTTTAGAAAAAGCTGTTTCTAAAAAGATTTGACTGTATGCTGACTTAACTGTAAAAGCCAGAAATCACTTATTTTATTTACTTCTCCAAGGTACAAGCTTAATAAATACTCTGTTTTACTTACTATTTGACACAACTTCTCCAGATGTTCACTCTGGAATCCCTGTAGATCAGTACAGCCTTCCATGTAACTGGCACTTAATAAATACATATCTAATCAATGAGTAACCATAAAGTATCTTTTGTTTTGTAAGAAGTATTTTTCTTATGATCTGTGGAATGAGACTAGAACTAGAAAGAATAGCATTCCGCTGGGGCTGCTGGAAGAGCAGTAATTAGAGTTTCATCTCCTGCCTATCCCTTTCCTTTCTCTCACTGGGCTGTAAGGCTTACTTCAAGACACATGAAACATTCATATTGGTTCTTACTATCCTCCTTACTTTAAAGTATCAGCCCTGAGCCAAAACCGGTTTGGCTCAGTGGATAGAGTGTTGGCCTGTGGACTGAAGGGTCCCAGGTTCAATTCCGGTCAAGGCATATACCTTGGTTGTGGGCACATCCACGATGGGGAGTGTGCAGGAGGTAGCTGATCGAGATTTCTCTCTCATCGATGTTTCTAACTCTCTATCCCTCTCCCTTCCTCTCTGTAAAAAAATCAATAAAATATATTTTTAAAAAATAAAATAAAGTATGAGCCCTAGTATTTTCATAATGCTCTTGTCTTTTTTTGTTTCTCTTCCAGTTTAAGAAAAGCCCTCCTAAGATTCCATATAAGGCCATTGCGCTTGCTACAGTACTGTTTCTGATTGGCACCTTTCTCATCATCATAGGCTCCCTCCTGCTGGCGGGCTATATCAGCAAAGGGGTAAGCTGAAGGGTTTGTGGGAATTTGCCATGAGGCCTCCGAAATGTGAACCAGGGCTCTATTGTTTTATATTCGAATCTAGTAGCACAGCAGAAAGAAGGAAAAGATTTTATTTTATAAAGATTTTGTTCTCTGATAACAAAACATGTTTCTTCCTTTGAGCAACAACAAACTTCTCCCACAGTTCCTCTGAGGTGGGTGGTGGCAGGTCAGCGAATTTTTCTTCTGCGACTTTGGGCACTTTTTACACTCTCATAGTTTGGGACAGCAAAACTAAGCCTGGCTTCGAGGACTCCTGAATGATAAAGTCTGTAACGGAGGAGAACGCTGTTATCGCAGCTCTGCAGTGCTATAGACATGCTAGACTGCTTGGGGAGAGAGTAAGGCTTGTGAAAGTCTGGGGCCACTAACCAAGTGAGGACTCTCAGCTCATGAATCAGCGCCTTCTTATATTGGGATTTGGTTGCAGTCCCTGATGAGCTTCAGTCCGATACCTTAGAAACCTAAAGAGGTGTTTGCTGGTTCTTGGGCTGCACACAGATACTTAAGCACAGCATCTAAGTTGTTCTGAATTTGCACTGATCATAATTCATGTTTGTTCTTCAAACCATCACATTGCTCTGCGGAAGGAACACAGATAAAAACTGAAACGGGGCATTATCATTGGACTTGGCAATAGTAGCACTGTCACAATGAAATGGCTGTATATGGGTTATAAGAAGTATATCTAATTAGGAAGTATATCTAACTAGGTCCTTTGCTGTTTAAAACTTTTTTACTTGGTATGCAATCTACATTTGAACACCTGACCTCAGGACTGCACCTTCAGTTCACTTTTATTGCAGCATGCAATATAATCCCAGGAGATCAGTAAAGTGTCTATTAATCACATTATAAAAATTGAAAGTGGAAGTGAGATCCACATGCAACAAATATCATTTTACCTTGTTTGGTTTATAAAGACTATTTTATAAAAAATGATAAAGATATTAAGAAAATCAGTAATAGCTTTTGTTCTAACTGGGAATTAAACCCACAACCTTGGACTCTCTAACTGAGCTATTCTGCCAGGGCTAGGGACTTATTTCAATTTGGATTTAGTTTAATTTAGTTTTAGAAAGAATATGATTCTCAAACTTCATTGTCAATCTGAATTACCTTGCGGATTTTTTAAAAAATATATTTTATTGATTTTTCACAGAGAGGAAGGGAGAGGGATAGAGAGCTAGAAACATCGATGAGAGAGAAACCTTGATCAGCTGCCTCATGCACACCCCCCACTGGGGATGCGCCCGCAACCAAGGTACATGCCCTTGACTGGAATCAAACCTGGGAGCTTTCAGTCCGCAGGCCAACGCTCTATCTACTGAGCCAAACTGGTTTCAACACCTTGCAGATTTGTTAAAGCAGATTTCTTTCTTTTCTTTTTTCTTTTTTTTCTTTTTTTTCTTGGGCATATGTCTGAGATTTTGCTGCCTGTGGATTCCTCTAATATTTTTATGGTTTCCCATCTTATGTTAAGTCTTTGATTCATTTTGAGTTTATTTTTGTGTATAGTGTAAGTTGGTGGTCTAGTTTCATTTTTTGCATGTATCTGTCCATTTCCCAACACTGTTTGTTTGTTTGTTTGTTTGTTTGTTTGTTTTTAATTGATTTTTTTACAGAGAGGAAGAGAGAGGGATAGAGAGTTAGAAACATTGATGAGAGAGAATCATCAATCAGCTGCCTCTTGCATCCCCCCCGCCCCCACTGGGGATGTGTCCATAACTAAGGTACATACCCTTGACCGGAATCGAACCCAGGACCCTTCTGTCCACTGAGCTAAACCAGTTTCGGCCCAACACTATTTATTGAAGAGACTGTCTTGACTCCATTGTATGCTCATGCCTCTTTTGTCAAATATTAATTGAGCATAGTGGTTTGGGTCGATTTTTTTTTGTTCTCTGTTCTAGTCCATTGGTCTATATGTCTGTTCTTGTGCCAGAACACAGATTTCTTGCTCCCACTCCCAGGGATTCCAATTCTATAAGTCTAGAGTGGGGCATAAGAAGTTGCATTCCCAAAAGGTTCCCAGGAAATGCTGGTGATGCCAGGACTACATTTTGAGAACATTGCTATAGCATCACTTTAGGAGGCACATAATGATTGTCCTCCTTTTTAGTCGATATTAAGACTGATCCCTGGCCCAGCCAGTGTGCTCAGTGGTTGAGGGTCGATGTATGAACCAGGAGGTTCTGGTTTGATTCCCGGTCCACATGTTGGTGGACCCCTTGTACAGTATCAAAGAGAAAGAAACAGGCCAGTTTTAAAAGAAACCATACAGCGATTAGCCTATGTTAATCCTAGTGTCAAAAACCTGATTGAGATAGTCGGGTCTTTTTGGAAATTGTCTTTAGGAGGACAGAATTGTATGGTTACTACAGATAAATGAGTGAACTTAATATTTTTGGCTCTGCAGCATAGAGCCTAGTTATGGAATTTAGCTACAAGAGAAATGACTTATTTGTAACTTACTCTTACTCAGAGCCCTGGCTGGTATCTGGGTTGGTTAGAGCATAGTCCCAATCCACCAAGCTTGTGGGTTGCATCCCTAGCCAGGGTACATACAAAAACCAACCAATGGTTGCTGAACCTTAGAGGGAAGGCAAGGGCGGGTGGGTGGGAGAAATTAATCAATGAACATGTATGCATATATGTTTAACCTGTGGATACAGACAGTGTGGTAGTGAGGGCCTGGTTTGGGGGACAGGAATGGGCTGGAAAAGGTTTATGGGGGAAAGGAGGATCTAGATAATCTTTTTAATAATAAAGATTTTAAAAAATAAATAAGAAATAACCAATGAATCATAAATAAGTGGAACAACAAACTGATGTTTCCCTCCTCCTACCATTCCATTCTGTCTAACTGGAAAAAATATCCTCTGGAGAGAATTAACATCAACAAAAAAAAAGAGAGGAAAGCCGAAGCCGGTTTGGCTCAGTGGATAGAGCATCGGTCTGCGGACTGAAGGGTTCCGGGTTCGATTCCGGTCAAGGGCACGTGCCTTGGTTACGGGCACATCCCCAGTGGGGGGGGGGGTGCAGGCAGCGGCTGGTCGATGTATCTCTCTCATCGACGTTTCTAGCTCTCTATCCCTCTCAATTCCTCTCTGTGTAGAATCAATAAAATATATTTAAAAAAAAAAAAAAGAGAGAGAGAGAGAGAGAGAGAGGAAGAAACCTTACTCTTAATCTGAAGAAAAAACCATCATTCTATAATTTTGATTTCTACTCCACACAGACTAGGGATTTTTAGCTTTTTGTTCTGCCTTTTACATTGTTGACATTGTACAAAACACTCCTGTCATGAATTTCTATCATTATATGTAGATTTTCATTTGGAGGGACTAGGGGCTGCTTATATTGGACAAAACCCCTGGAAAGGCTCAAGAGCCCCTCTTGAGCAGGCCTGCTGCTTATTTGAGAATCGCTGTTCCAGATTAAGGAACAAAACCTCTATCTAAAATTTGCATAAGGAGGCAGGCTCTCTGATAACAAGTGCCCTGCGGAGGGGAGGGGAAACACACACACACACACACACACACACACACACACACACACGACACTTCCCCTTTCTTTCCTCCATTTTTGGTTTTTTTTCTTTTTCTCTCTCTCAGTTGGCCTTTCCATGAACTCTGAGGACTTATTGGGGAGGATAGGGGAGGGGAGGGCTAAAGAGAAGGCTTTGCTGATAAGCTCAGAGCAGAGCCTCAAGGGACCCAGCAACATTAAACTCCTCTCCCTTAGGGACCTCCAGCACAGGGAGGAAGGCGGAAATCCCCTTCCCACCGGAGCCCTGTGGTTTTATTCCAACGCCTCACTGTGGCTCCCATTTTACACACTCATTAATGAGGAGGGCCCACTGGGGCAACAGACTCTGGCATGATTTCAGAGAGCTGTTCAGCCCAGGTGATGGGGCTGGGGCAAGCAGCCCGTTATTGAAGTCACAGCACTAGGGACATGTTCTGCTTCCCTAGGAGCTCAGGGCCAAGGCAGCATACAAATGCCTCTAAAGTTGCCTTTCCACCTAAAATAGCCGGCCCTTCTGTCCCTCTCAGGTTCCTGTGGCCTGCTCTGATGTTTCCATAACATCAGAACCTTTTTGAGCCTTTGTCCTTCACTCTTGTTCACAAAATAAGTCTATTGCTCTGCCTTCCTTATATTCTCTTAAGCTTCCTACTCCTGTCTGTGCCTGTTTCAAGCTGCTACTGCCTCTGTTTCTGATGAAGATCTTTCTGAACCGAGCTCAGGCCTCTAAGTGCTGTGTTGGGTATCAGCATTTTGTTTTTACCTTTTACATGTGATCGTGCTGTCATTCTGTTTTACCTAATAAATCAGTGGACTTGTTTACAATGTGATATTTTATATTAAATCTAATACATTTTTAAAAAACAATTATATTAATTCCAGGTGTATAATATAATTATTCAGTATTTGTATATATTGTGAAAGATTACCACAATAAGTCTAGTTAACATTCATCACCACACATAGTTATACATTTTTTGTGTGTGATGAGAACTTTTTTTTTTTTTTTAATATATTTTATTGATTTTTTACAGAGAGAAAGGGAGAGAGATAGAGAGCTAGAAGTGTCGATGAGAGAGAAACATCGACCAGCTGCCTCCTGCACACCCCCCACCGGGGACATGCCCGCAACCAACGTACATGCCCTTGACCAGAATCGAACCTGGGACCTTTCAGTCCGCAGGCCGACGCTCTACCGCTGAGCCAAACCGGATTTGGCATGATGAGAACTTTTAACATCTACTCTCTCATCAACTTTCAGGTATACTAATAGAGTACAGCATTCTTTCTTTCTTTTTTTTTAAAAATATATATATATTTCATTAATTTTTTTTACAGAGAGGAAGGCAGAGGGATAGAGAGTTAGAAACATCAATGAGAGCGAGAAACATTCATTAGCTGCCTCCTGCATACCTCCCACTGAGGATGTGCCCACAACCAAGGACATGCCCTTGACTGGAATCAAACCTGGGACCCTTCAGTCCACAGGCTGATATTCTCTCCCCTGAGACAAACCAGTTAGGGCAAGTACAGCATTCTTAACTGGAATCACCGTGCTCGGGACTTATTTTATAACTGGAATTTTGTATCTTTGACTACTTCACCTCCCTACTGCACAATGAAGAGCGTTTAGTAATATTTTGGCAATACCTTGTTTTAAGAGACAAAAACAAGGCACAGGGTGTGTTCACAACTAAAAACTTTACAGAAGGAGCAGAAAAAAATAAGCCAAAATAGCTTATGAACATGGATAACTTATTTTCTTTGTAATCTTTTGTATTTTGCAGTTTTTCTACAATTGGTAATCAGGAGAAAAAGAAATGTAAAACCTTTGCTAGGCAGTGTACTATTCAAAGAAAACGCACTGAAAAGTATAAGATGTTGATCTATGGATTGGACTCATCATGTGTTACTTTAAATTTTATAACTTGTGTGGTACTAATGCGTTTGCCTCCTTTTGCCACCAGGGGGCAGATCGGGCCGTTCCTGTTCTGATCATTGGCATCCTGGTGTTCCTGCCAGGGTTTTACCACCTGCGCATCGCTTACTATGCATCCAAAGGCTACCGGGGTTACTCCTACGATGACATTCCTGACTTTGATGACTAGCACCCACCTTAGCCCCGAGGGGCAGAGTCAGATGGGACTGAGCTCAGCTTTAAGTTACTGAGCAGAAACTATAGCTTAGGGCTAAGGAATTCTGCTGGTTGCAGATGCTTAACAAAACAGTGGCCATGTTTTATGAGTCCATCCTAAGAGCTTACAATTAGCTAATTAGGGCATGCTTGATATTTCACCTGGCCCTGACAAAAAGCTGACAAGCTTTTCCACGTGAACTTGTATCTTGTGAACCTGTATCTTGGAAGAATTGCAGTGTTAATTGGAGAAAGTGGGAGGTTCTTCTGTAGTGGGAAGTGTTGCTGCCACCACCCTTTTTAGAGGTGAGCATTTCTTTTAAATAGTCTTTATTATCAGTTTGTTCTTGTCGTAAATGGAAGAATGCAGTATGTCAAATTTATTACTAAATAATTTATTTTGAAAATATGTAAGTATCTTACTCCCTGATCTAGTGGAAGACCTTGGCAAAATCAAATATTAGTGTGGGTGCATCTGAAATATTTTTTACTTGCTTTCTTATTCAGAGCAATCAGGAATTTTAAACCTCAGAGCAAGTTTTCAAAATGTAAACACTCTGTTCACATTCCTTGGCCAGTACTGATCTGGCTCACAGGTTGGGCACCATATAATTTGGGTAATTCTGTCCTTTATAGATTAAGATGTTCTGTATGTCATGCCTTTAAGGACTAGACTTTTGTCTGTTTTTTAAAGATAAATGTGGATAAGTGGTTGTTAAGAGTTTATAACCCCATTGTTAGCACCTTGTATATGATGTCCTTCTTCTGAAGATTGCAAAATTTGGCCTGGATCCCTAGGGGACTAGACTGCCTTAGTTTGATTCTGTTTCCTAGTTTGCAAAAGGTGATTTATGTTCAAAACAAAATGTCTAAATCTAAATCCTACACTTAAATGAGTTAACTTTAAACATATTTCAGAAAACATTTTAATGATTAAATGGTATCTTAGATCCCAACACCCAGGACTACTTTTATTTTTAGATAATTGGCATTGTACATCAGCCTGCTTTCCAGTAATTCTTTTATTCTGAGGTGGTGGATTGGCAACTAGAAGCCTGGAAGTGCTATTAGCTGGGTTTTGGAGGACTCTGTGTAGAGCAAATTGAACTGGGGAGGATGAGTTCAACTTTGGGCATGCTAAGTTTAGGTGTCTGCTTAACATTCAAAAGGAGCTGTTGACAAGGCATTTGCAATACACAGGTTTGCAATACAGGAAGGGAGTCTAGGCTGGAGGTAGAAATTTGGGAGTCAGTGTTGGGACAATATATCCAGAAACCATGGGGCTGGATGAGATCACCCACAGAATGCACATGGGAAAAAAAACACTAGAACTCAAGAAATGGGGGGCAAAGAGGGTGACCTGAAGCAGCCTCCAAGATTTAGATACATTTGTTAATGGGAGGGTAGGTTGGGGATCCATTAGTCTGATTAAAGGTCTTGGGCCTTGGCAATGAAGATGCGAGGAAATATATAAAGCTCTGTCCTGGGCAGTATTTGCAAAGCTCAGACCAGAAGGTTTTTTTTTATAAGGGTAAGGACACTATTTGTAAGGATGGGGGGAATGCAATAGGGACATAAAGTGGAAAGTATGCATTTGATTGGGGTGAGTAAACATTTGCGCCCCCACACCATTCCCCAAGGTTATCTAATTAAGTTTTTTGTATACCCTTTCAGAAAAATTCAAAGTATATATGTGTATATCCTTAAAAAAACAAACAAACAAAAAAAAAACATGGTCTTCCATTGTAGAGTTTTATAATTTCTTTTTTTTCTACATGTTTTTTAGTTGATTTCAGAGAGGAAGGAAGATGGAGAAAGAGAGAGAGAAATATCATTGATGAGGGAGAATCATTGATCAGCAGCCTCCTGCACATCCCATACCTGGGGATTGACCCACAACCAGGGTATTTGCCCTGACCTGGAATTGAACTGTGACCTTCTGGTTCATAGGTTGACGCTCAACCACTGAGCCGTGCCAACCAGGTTCTACCTATTCTATTTTGTATGTCTTTCCATATCCACAGAGATCAGCTATATTTTTATTTATTTTACTTATTTCACCTGATGTTATTTTTCCATAGATTTTTTTTAGAGAGAGTGGAATTGAGGGGTAGGAGGGCGGGGAGAGATCTATGCAAGAGAGACACATAGATTGGTTGCCTCCCTTAATCACCCTGACCAGGGCTGGGTATCAAACCTGCAACTGAGGTACGTGCCCTTGACCAGAATCAAACCTGGGACCATTTAATCCACAGGCCAATGCTCTGTCCACTGAACCAAACTGACTAGGGCTTCAGCCACATTTTTTAAATGTAAATTATAAGTACAGTTTATCATTCCTAGAGCATGAATTCCTTCTTGGATGTCCTCATTCTACTTGAACATTCGGGTTCATAATTTCATTCTATTTGGGATTGTTACAGGTATACTGTTGATTAAGCCAAAATCAGAATCCCTGTAAATATGCATTGACAGCTGTTGTATATTCTGGTGCTTTATAAAAAACATCTAGCCCAGCTGGTGTGGCTCAGTGATTGAGCATCAACTATGAATCAAAAGGTCACAGTTCGATTTCCCAGTCAGGGCACATGGCATGGGTTGGGATGTGCAGGAAGTAGCTGATCAGTGATTCTTTCTCAGCTCTGATGTTTCTATAACTCTCCCTCTCCTTTCCCCTCTGATAACAATAAAAATATATTTTTAAAGAAAAAACATCTAGACCTCCATAATAATATTGAATGTTTCTTAAACCTTTTGCCCAGTGTTGTGTCAAGCACTTACATTATGTATTCTATTTCATTTTAGTCGTTTGGGAAAACCCTGAATTGGGTAAGATTCTTAGGTAATAGGTTGGATATTTGCAAGTCAAATTATGGAAAAGTCTGAATTGACTTACCAAGTATGAAAGCCAGGTGACTATAGGGGCTGTACAAGTAAAGAAGTGGGGGGGGGAAGGGGTATGCACTGTGGTAGTAGGGATGACTGTCAATCACCAAATGTTTATTTTACCTAAAAGTGGCTTTCTCTCCCTCCCCTCTACTCTGGCCTTCATAGTATTGGCCAAATCATGTGCCCTAGCCTTATAGTATTTTCTTATTTGCAACAATTATGCCTCTCGAGTCTAAAAGTCCTCCCCCATCGCATCAGCGTTCTACTTATGATGTTCTACTTATGATGGCTGTTCCAGACCCATTGCCTCTGGATGGGCTTCGCCTGGTCAGACACATTTTGACTGCTTCCTTTCTGCCAAGAACTGACAAGTGCTGAAGGTACAACAAGGAAAGATAGGCTAGTGAAGAACAGAGTTTACAAACTAGTGACCACATATGTTGGCCTTCATTTTGTTTTAAAAAATGGCAAGGTTCACATTATCTTGATTTTTGGCTTTTCTTTGTTACTGAGAGACTCCAACTGGAGCAAGGTAGCCTGCGGCTTTGGCTGAGCAGAATTCTGCCGTTCACTGCACTGCTCACCACTGCTTAGTTAATTCCATTCCCAACCTTCGTTGATTTTCTTCATTAAGGGCAAAGTGTCTGATGGGCTAGTGCTTGTGGTCATTTAGGTTTATTGAATGAAGAACCAAAGCCAAGAGTGCATTTCCATCCCAGGACACTTCCTGTGAGGTACGGACAGGTGGGCTGGTACCATTTGATTCAGACTTTCCTAAATGACCCTCTCTCACTTGCCTGGCAGACCATCTACTCTTTAGAGTTGGTGCAACCCAGTGAGTTGAATACAGTGAGCTCAGTTCACAACCAATTGTGAGTCCCCTCCTCTGAGGTTATGCAATGTTCCTGCTAGCTGGCCCAGAAGAACCTCCTGTTACTGGTGTGGTGAGAGAAGCTGCTAGAGGGATAACCATAGCCTTGACTTTTTGCTGACTTTCAAAGGGTCATAAACCAATTCAAGTGACATTAGTTACCTAGCTCTGTTATCTAAATTCCTTTCCTGAGCCTGGATGGTGTGGCTCAGAGGTTGAGAGTTGACCTATGGAGGTCACGGCTTGATTTCCGGTCAAGACATGCCAGGTTGTGGGCTCAAACCACAGTAGGGCGGTATGCAGGAAGCATCAGATCAATGACTTTCAGCATTGATGTTTCTATTTCTCCCTTTCCCTTCCTCTCTGAAATAAAAATCTATAATAATAGCATAATATGCTAGTTAGACAGGATGACCTTCCAGACTAAGCTGGGGCTCCTAGGGAACCCCAGGTTCCAGGTGCCAGAGGGAAGCCAGTGTCAGCAGCCAGGGAAGGCCTACTCTTGCATGAATTTCCTGCATCAGGCCCCTCGTGTATATATATATATATTTCTTTCCTGAGGCTTCTCTCCTAGACTCCTGGTCTCACAGATATATGATTCAGTCATGGTTTAGTGCCAGTGTAGGAAGGCATAGACTATGTATTAGCTACAAGGTATTGGGCAAATTACCTCTTGGGCCTCAGTTTCCTCTTGTAAAGTTGCATAAACCATTTCCTTCCTCATAAAGTAATTGTGAGGATTAAATAAAACAATGTGGCCCTTGGCCAGGTAGCTGGTTTAGAGTGTTGTCCCAATAAGCTAAGATTACAGGTTCAATCTCCAGTCTGGGACATACAAGAATCAACCAGTGAATGCATAAATATGTGGGACAACGAATCATTGTTTCTCTTTCCCTCTCTAAAATCAATTAATAAAAGTTTAAAAAAAGAATGTGGGAGAGTGCTTTACACAGAGCCTGGCACATAGTAACCACCCAGTAAATGGAAGCTGCCCCTTGAGAAAGTGAAGGTCAGACTTTGGCTTCAAGCAGTAGTGCCTGGGTTGAAGCTGAGGAAGAGGCGATTCCATCAGTTTTTCCCAAGGCCAATCTGAAGATTTGGCTGCTCCATGTCGGAACTACCCCAGAGCTAAGGGCCCAAGCCAGCATGGCAGTCAGCCCCAACCAAGGCAGGGCTCCCTTTGAGTGAACTGCCCCAGGCCCTCCTCCTCCAGT